CCGAAGAGGAACTGAGGAGACTTCATGGGATCGCGAGGAGGATATGCGTCGCGACTATCCACATATGTTTGAACAGGTAAATTAAAAATTCAGTATAATTTGTTTATGATTTATGGTTATCTGTATGGTTATGTTTATACTTAACGCTAGAATGATGATACTAGCACGTAGGTCCTAAGTATTCGGAACACACGGTATATACATTGGGGGTTTCTTATTTGGATTTTTCACCCAACATACTTGTTTCGTTTAGTTAGGGGTTAACTGGGGGTATTTTTATTTTAGACCGTTAAGTATATATATCGATGATGATTTTCGGGGGCGCGAATATGTTATGCATCACGACTATCCACACCTGTTTGAGCAGGTGGGTTGATTGATTTTGATTGATATTTATGGATTGATTATATAATAATATTCATATTTAACGCTAGAATGGAGATATTGACACTTAACTCCTAATCATTGGGAACACATGGTATGTATATGGGGGTTCCTTTTTTTGGATTTTTTACCCGACGTACTAGTTCCGTCTAGTTAGGGGTTCAATGGGAATATTGGCAATCTAGATGTTAAGTGTAAATATTTTTATGTTTTATATCTGGAGATTAATGATGTGAGATGTGTATATGAGGGTTTTCTTATCTGGATTATTCCCTCAACGTGCTTTTCTGATATTATTAATCTCTAGGATATGATTGCAGAATTTCGGAAATGAAATTCTTTTTGAATATAAAACCCCAAAAATTTGAATATTATATAAAAAATAATAATAAATATGTTATATGGTGAAAATATAACATATTTTGATATTTGAGTATGATAGGAATTGATTTGAGATCAATTTAATGTATATTTATGAATATATGAGTGCAAATGCACAAAACATGCACGAAGAGAAATCTAAAAAAATGACCAGTTAAGAATTTATATATTTTACACACTGATATATTTTGAATCTGGAAAAACTAAAAGACCTAAGTTTTAGGTCTCTTTAATAGATTTCTAACAAATCTTAAATCACCTCATTCCGAGGTCGGATGAGAAAGTTACATAGAGTTTCAAACCCTAGTAGCTCCTCTTCCTCCCTCTCAAACCCTAACTCTAAAGTTGAGATTTTGGGAGCGTCTTGTGAGGCGAGAAGTGAGGAAAAGGCGAGATCTACGACGTTTGGCGACAAGGAGTCGTTTCACATTAGTTTCAGAGGCTTGCAGACGTGATAAGGCAAGATCATTTGCATCCTAACCCATCCCTATAGTGTTTAATGATTATAAAAGTGTTTAATCAATATTTTCATGCTTAAGGTTTAACCTAATATGAAAAAGATGAGATTTTTGATGATAAACTTTAACCCAATGCTAGATCATTAGCTTTTTCTAATTGTTTATGATAGTAACGTGATCATGATCATTAGGGGTGATTAAATTTTTATTTTTTTAAAATTTTAAATTATGTTTAACTCGTGTGTTAACCCTAATTTGTTGTCTAATTGAATTATAAAGAGGTTTAGTTTTTGTTTTCCTCATAGATTGCAAAAAACTACTGCATGTGTATAATATTTAACTAAAAATTTGAGATACCATATAAACTCCAAACTCAAGAAAACCAGTGTCAAATGAAAGTTATGTGAACTTATTTTCCAAACAAAACCTTTCTACGAAAGTTTTTATAGAGAAAGCTATACTCAATTTACTAATGACATATTTTGCAGAAAACTGCTGCACGTGTGTAATCTTTAACTAGAAATTTGAGATATCATATAAACTCCAAACTGAACCAAACAAGTACCAAATGATAGCTATGTGGATATAGTTTCCAAAACAGAAAAATATTCTTAAAAAGAGTTTGTCTAGAGAAAGATATGCTCAATTTTTACCAATGATATATTCTGCAAAAAATTACAAATATACTGATTTGAAATAATTGATATATTACGTGAAGGTTTCTTTGAGTTTTCATATTAATTAATCATGCTTAAACCCTAGGTTTGTGATACCTAAGTAAGATAAACATGTTTAAATAAATTTTATCTCTTTTCATGAGTAGTTTTTATCATGTATTGATAATCACTTTGTTTACATATGAGATAATTTAAGAAATTGTTTAATTAGGATGTTAAACCCTAATTTGAAAGATATATTAATTTAATTTGATGATTCAAATAATTCCTGTTATATATGCCAAGTATAAAATCTTATTTTAACATCATGATATGTACAATTGACATAAGCACTATTTGTGCACGACAGAATGCGTGTCTTGACAGAATAGTCAACTACTAAGCTTAGTAGTTGGCTACTCGTGCCCAGTTGAGTATAACAGAAACTATGTGTTTGAAGAGTAGTCGACTAATGTTCTTAATAGTCGACACTAATATTGATATATGTTATTACAGAGTCTGGATGGACTCAGTGTAGTCAACTACTAAGCCTAGTAGTTGACTACTAAGGCTGTTACCTATATTTTTATTTTGCATCTGTTTGAGATATGTTTGCGGGTTTCGAGCCGTACTTCTTTATACGTAAATTCATGAATAGTGTAGTAGCACACACATGATTATGCTGAAAGGAATTATGATGAGTTTTGACCTGATTACTTTGAGAAAGAGTTTAATACATATTATACACACACTTTCTAGATATCGTTGATGAGCTCTATTTAGTACTACGGGGGTAGTGTGTCGATATTCCATTTGTACAGGCCATCGAGTCGGTTTTTGTTTAGGATGCTTTATCTAGAAGTCTGTCCCGTACTAAGGTGTGATGATGCTTGTGAACCGTATTTCTAGGATGCCTACTTGGTAGTTCGTCCCGTACTCGTGTTACGTATAGAGATACGATGAGACTGATGAGCCGTGTATACTGATTAGGATACCTACAGGGTAGTCCGTTGCACATGATAATACTAAGTATCAAAATCTTGCACAGAGTTACATTGAGATAGTTAAATGACAGCCCAAGTCGTTGGCGGATGCCAGTTATGTTTTTGACTCACTGTTGAAATATATGACCCATAGTACTTTCCGTTTGAAAGTACACGGGATTTGTGCCGGTATTCATTCTATCTTCCCAGTGACAGTAGAAGATATTATGAATACGATATGTTGATGCCTTTACTTTCTTTTATTACTTTTCTTTATTTTTTTAGTTAGGATCAATAATTAGCGATTCATAATTTAAGACATATGGTATATACATGAGTGTTTCCTTGTTTGGATTATTTCACTCGACGTACCAGTCTCATGTTGTGGATTTCTAATTGTTGATTTTATTTAGATTGTTTATCTTTAGTTCAGTATTAATGTTTATATGTTTACAATTCAGGACATTTAGTATATACATAAGGGTTTCCTTGTTTGGAATATTTCGCTCGACTTACTACGTCTCGTATTGTAGGTGTCTAAATATTAATTTCATTAGATACATGGAAAAATAATGTAGGTAGATTATGCTTAATAGATAAAGTCTCCACTCCATCTAACAGCCCTTTCCCTAGGGACGGATGAAGGTGATCTTGCTATAGCGCTCTGACACTCTTGTTATTGCTCTTTTTCTTCTAATATTCTTTCAGGTAATTCGGAGTGCCGGAGAGTCGTAGGATGACGGAGTTCTTGCATAGTCGCCGTCACATGGGGTTTATTAGAGGCTCCACCATAGTTTTATATTTTTGTTCAGACCTTAGAGTTTATTTCATAGTGTAAAGGCAGTGTGCATTAGTACGATTTTTAGTTGTTTCTTATCGAGACATATTTATTCATTTTGGATATTAGATGTATTCCATGTTGTTCATTGAGACATGATTTATTTATGAGATACTTCTTTCTATATCATGTCTATTGTAGTTATTTCCTTTCTTTTGCGTGTTTTGTATCTGCACTTTATTTTAATTGCACTAGAGGATATTGCTGTGATTAGTAAAACTTATTGTTATACAGTGTGGGTGCATGGCAGGTTTGACATCTCTGGGTTCATCTTGGATTGCAGCCATGTGTGAGAACAGGGACGTCACATATCATAAATTAGATCGATTAAAGGTTTTTTAGTCTATTGTAAAGTATTTCCATCTTAATTTTTCTTAATAAATTGCGTGAGCGGAATTTACTTTTATATCTAAAATAGTGTATTTAAGTCACTCGGTATTGTGCTTTAATGTCTATATTTTTACAATTTCTCAAGCTAGGATAAAGTGAGAGCTTTAATATAAATAGGCGACAGGCAACTAAAAACATAGTCAAATATACATTAATATAAATAGTAAAGAATATCTGTGTTTGGTTATATTTTAGTATAATTTAAGATAACTAGTGTGCACCCCGTGCAAAACACGGCCTTCATTTTTTATTTCTGGTACAATAATTTTGTATTTAAATACAGTTTTTGTAAGTGCTAGAGTAACATTTTTAAATGCTACAGTATCCGCCTGAGATACAGTAATGCTGCTACAGTAATGTTTTCAAACGCTACAGTCTCCGTCTGTGCTACCGTGATAAATGCTATAGTATTTTTATTATATCATGAATAGTAAACCTTGGATCCTCTTGTATGTGTTACAGTAACATTGCTACAGTGACTTGATGTAACATTTACTGTAGCATGAATAGTGAATTTTGAACCCTTCCATTATTATAGAGGAATAGATTAGAACATCTTGATTCTTGACTCTCGACCATATTAGTCAAAGAAAAGGCATTCAAAGCAAATAAGTGTAACATTGCAAAAGGTATCTTTCATTAGGTTTGAGCAAGTCTATTTCTTTTCAAGTATAATTTCAACTCGCACATCTCCCTTGACACTATTGTTTTGTACAGTAAGTCTATTTCTTTTCAAGTATAATTTCAACTCGCACATCTCCCTTGACACTATTGTTTTGTACAGTAACTTCACAAGACTAAATATGTAATAGAACTCGCACATCTCCCTTGACACTATTGTTTTGTACAGTAACTTCACAAGACTAAATATGTAATAGAAAAGTTAATATTCATATGAGATAAGGACGTATATGCTAAAACACCTAAACCGTGTTATCTGACGTGATGACTTTATACGATCGCATCATGAATACTGGGGGAAGCTGCCTCCGTCTCTATTCTTGAGCTGTGAAGGCCAGCCAGAAAGCACTTTAAAATTTCGAACCTCATAGAGAGGCAATTCTATTATAAGTATTTTCAAGTGAGACATGAATCAAACCATCCGCCTTTCTTTTCCTCAGTGGCATACACTATGCAGCGCAGGTGTTTGATGAAATGTCGGAGAGAGGCGAGTTTTGTCGTTTGGTCTTTTATTTGTCGTGGGTATTGTCAAGGTCTCAATGCATTCGTATGCTTTTGTACATTATATCAATCCTGGTGTAGTTTAGACCTATGAGCTCTCATGGCACATTTACTTAAGTGATGAACTATGAATAAGATATGAGTTTAGCTATCAAACCTTATTTTGATCCGTTGGGCAATAGAGAACCTACATTGTTATGTGATTTAAGCTCACGCAAACCAAATATTATCTCCCTCTCTAAATGGCATGTAATATGACTTTATTCATGCATCTATGTGAATATGCATTCTGGATATTATCTCCCTCTCTAAATGGCATGTAATATGACTTTATTCATGCATCTATGTGAATATGCATTCTGGATGCATCGAAATTTTTAAACATATCATCAATATGACTTTATTCATGCATCTATGTGAATATGCATTCTGGATGCATCGAAATTTTTAAACATATCATCGAGCCAAACCAGATCACAGATTTTCATGTTTTTATTGCCAAGTTTCAATGGATTTAACTGATATTAGCTATTGTTTCTTTTGTTCAAATCCTTTTACAATCATATCCAGTGCGCTTTTCTCATAAGCAGTCTCAGGCTTTTCTAATGTCAACGTTATGGTTTTTTTTCCACAGGTCAAGCATGATCAAATTTAAAGGATATGAAATCTTTAAATCTGAAGACCGCATAGTGTGGATTTAGGCATACGTTGACAAATTCTTCAAACATTAATTGATGCTTTCTGCTTCTGGTAATGTATGTCAATTTGCAGAAGAAGTCTCCTTATCTTAGAAAAATGCAGAAACATGAAGCAACTGCTTCAAGCCCATGCTCAGATTATCACCGGGGGCCTGAGCAATGACAATTTTGCACTCAGCCGTATATTGGCTTTCTGTTCAGATCCATCACATGGAAGCGTAAGCCATGCTCAACTTCTATTCGAAACTATCAAAAACCCCACTCTCTGCATTCAGAACACTATGATCAAAGCTTACTTACTCAAAGGAGAGTACATCAAATCCATTGAAATTTATCGTAGAATGCTACATGATGGTATGTACCCTGATAACTATACCCTTCCTTATATCTTGAAGGCTTGTATAAACCTTAGTGATGCAAAAATTGGATCGATGGTCCATACCCATATCCTAAAATTTGGATTTTTATCTGATACTTACGTTGGTAACACGTTGGTCCTTATGTACATGGCTTTTGGAGAAACCAATTTTTCAAGGGAAATCTTTGATAGGATTTCTCAACGAAATGCATCAACATGGACTTTAATGATTAATGGCTATTCAAAATTGGGAGAAATCGAGAATGCAAGATTGATTTTTGATGAAGCGCCGATGAAAGATAGGGGAATTTGGGGTTGTATGATTTCTGGATACGTCCAAAATAATTGCTTTAAGGAAGCACTATCAATGTTTAGACTAATGCAAATAGAAGGATCAGAACCTGATGAAGGTGCATTTGTGAGTGTTCTTTGTGCATGCGCTCAACTTGGAGCTATAGATATCGGTACATGGATCCACCATTACTTGAATCGAGTAGGTTTCAAGCTAAGTATTCAATTAGCTACTTCTCTCATAGACATGTACGTGAAATGTGGTAAGTTAGCTTTGGCTCGGAAAATCTTCAATATGATTACTCAGAAGGACACCATATGTTATAATGTGATGATTTTTGGAGTAGCTATGCATGGAGATGGCCGTGGAGCTCTTGATCTCTTTGCTACAATGCAAAAAGAAGGATTTAAACCCGATTCATCGACGTTTCTTGCAATTTTAACTGCTTGTAGCCATTCTGGTTTAGTTCAAGAAGGGCTCAATCTATTCAACAACATGAGGACATTATACAATATTGAGCCTAAAGGCGAGCATTATGGATGCATAGTTGATTTCCTAGCTCGAGCTAAGATGTTCGAAGAGGCCAAGAGAACAATTGAACAGATACCAAGACCAGCACGTTCATCAGAGAAAGCAATCGCGTGGAGATCATTGTTGAGTGCTTGCTGGAACCACGGAGAGTTTCGATTAGCTGAAATTGCTGCTCATAACCTTATGGAGCTTGAAGCTCAAAGTGGAGTGTATGTTTTGATCTCAAACATTTATGAGAATTCTGGGAGGTATGAAGATTCAAAGAGGATGAGGAAGAATATGAAATGTAGAGGGGTGATGAAAGTGCCTGGATGTAGCGCTATAGAGATTTGCGGGCGAGTTCATGAGTTTGTTGCAGGAGAGAAGTTGCATCATTGCATTGGAGAGATACTTGAAGTTTTGGATGTTTTGACTGATCAATTGGCTGGACCAAATGGTTGAATGTATCTTTTAAGTATCCAATTTAGCTTAACATCGTCGAAGTGCTTAGATTTTGTTACTTAAAACAAATTCATTTCATTCATCTTCTGACCTCTTAGGATTTTGTAATTAAACAGCAGTTTTTTTAGGACCGATATATCAAAAGTATATTTGCAGCAGTCAAAATTGGAACTGGAAACTGCATCAGTTGATAATTTTTACATGTTTCGGCAAATTCCTCCTTACTCGCCAATCAGCTGATCCATCTTCAACTGTCGATAGTTAAAGCAAAATGGTCTAGTTCAACTAAAGAGGATTTCCAAAAAAAAAAAACAACATTTACATGATATTACCTTAATTAAACTACCAGTTTGAATCGGAGTAAAATGTAAACTTCTAGATTAACTAGTCATATAAGTAGTAGGTTAGAGTATCCTCTTCTTATGAGGGAATAACTTGCCCAGTGGGTTGAAATAGGTCAGACAAGCTTTCAACAGATCCAGAACCTGCATAGGAGGGAATGTAATAGCAAAATCTTGGGTAGCAAGAATTTCTTAGGACCTAATCTTCATACCTAAAACCTATAAAAAAAGGATAAGAAAACTTCACCCCTCTGCTACGCCAAGTTTAAACCCCCTTCTCAACTAAGCTGCTAATAGCTCTGATATCTCATTAGTAACATTAAATGTAACCGAACTGTCCGCATATCCTCCTCCACTTTCTTTTGCCGAGTTTGGTAACTTTGGATTTATTTCAATTAATGTCACCTTTTCTACATTATGCTTGCACTTGATCCCCTCATCCCAGGAAGTTTTGCAGACTCGGACAGTGCATGTCTTTGACAGTTCGGCGTCAACTTTCAGAATTTGGTTGTTGCGGTTAAAATCTGGGAAGGGTTTGGGAGCCGATAACAATTTCTTGCACTTCTCGGATTTGATGCAATCTCCAGTAGCAGCCAAAAGCTCCACGCTGTTGTACAAGTTGTCGACACAACCAATAGAAGACTGGTTGTTAGGCAGCTTGACTATGGATCCAAGCGGAAAGGTAAGGAAGGAGAGGAGGTTGTTGGAGTTGTAACTTAAAACTTGACTTTGTAGTGGGAAAGTTTAGTCCCACATTGGAAAGAAGATGGGAAGATAGGTTGTTTATAAGCTTTCCATTTCTCTCATATTTTTAGAAGGAAATATGGGTTATGCTCCACACCACACACGCGCACGCCAAACCGGGCTGAGCTCGGGTTCGGGTCGGGAGGCGCACGACCTGCGGACACGAATGCAGCTCCGGATTGAGGGGCCATTAACCTGCTGTATTTTTATTTTTGCAAATTAGAACAATTAAAACGTGTTAAACATTTGGTTTTTGCAAATTGGAACAATTAAAACGTGTTAGCTACGAGAATTATGGATCTAAACGTCTGGATAAACGGAAACGGCTAGCTGAATAAATGGGTGAGGTTTGTGGATCTAAATGACGAGTTTTGTGGATCTAAATAGCGATTTTCATCCTATATATGGAGCTATAGATGCGAGGGCTAAAATATAGATTTACAACAAATCTCTTCTCTTCTTCTCCTCTTTTCGAAAATATCATCCTGCTGTTACATTTTCGCTGGTTCTCTGAAAGTCTTAAAGATTTCACAAAACCTTCTTGAAGCTCGTGCCGACGAGAAGGAGGTCGCCTGACCGAGGATCGTCGTATCTCCGAGATTTATTGTCGCGTAGCCCTGTACGAGAGGGGGCAATTAGATTCTTGGGACAATGTCTTGTACTCTTTCATCATCAGGCTATATTCTTAAACCCTGTTTAAATTTTTTATTTAATTTATTTTCTGAGTTATATTCTTAATCTGTTATTTTTCAATTTTAATTAACTATTAGAACTATTCTTAATCTGCATTTCATGATAGTTATAGTCTAAACAGTAAATTATTCCTAACAATCCAAGAATCTAATTGAGTTGTTTTAAAATAATATCATGATTAGTATTCTGCTTCTTACGTTAATGCTGTCTACATTTTATAAAAACAACATGTTTCACTGCCTGATGATTCTGTTGATTGAATGCTTAAATTGTGTCTGTTGCATTATAATAACAAAATTATTCATTGATCATCAGATTATGGCTACAAGTGAAATCATGTCAGCTAAGCCAGAGAAGTTCGATGGGAATAAATTCTGTCGTTGGCAAAACCAAATGAGATTTTGGCTAACGACTAAATCTGATAACTGCCATTGAACCTGATAACCCATCTTCCTCTAGACCTGTCACTAGGCAAAACTCCACTGCAAATTCCATTCCTATCTCGAGAACACCTCAAGAGATAGAATATCATTGCCTACACAGAATCTTTGGAGCCTTATCTGATAGATTATATGATATCTACTACTCTATCACTAATGCTAAAGTTCCGTAGGAAACACTAGAGAAGAAGTATGGTTTAGATGATACATAAAATAAAAGATTTAAAGTATCTGATTTTAACAAATTTAAAATGGTAGATTCCAAACCAATGAATGAGTAAATTCATGAATTCGAACATATAGTTCATCAACTGAAAATGAATGGATCTAACTTAGATGAAAAACTTCAGATAGCCTGTCTTATAGACAAACTTTCTAAAACCTGATCAGATTTTACCAAAAAACTTAGCCATACCCAAGGAGATCTTACTCTTGATCAAGTGTTGAATTCCATTAGAATTGAAGAGCAACATAGACTCAGGGAGAAAATGTGACATAATCTGAACCCAAAGTTAACAATGCAGAATCCAAACCCATTCCCAAACACAAGAAGCGCCCCTTCCACCAAAACCAAAATAGAACGTTTAAGAAGAAATCCTATCATCAGAATGAAAACCCTATCCAATTTCAAAAGAAGGAAGGAGTTGAACGTCAAGCTTGCTTTGTTTGTGGACGAACCAACCACCTCGCTAAAGACTGCTTTTACAAGAAGACTGAACCACCCAAGCCTAGGAAGGGAGGACCTCCACCAAATAAGACCCAAATAAATATGGTGACTTCCAGTTCAACTGAGACTGCTTTCAGGTCTGTTCTCTTCACCCATGAAGTAAACATAACCTTACAAGAAAATGGTTGGTGGATTGACACTGGAGCTAACATTCACGTCTGCTCTAATCAATCTCTGTTTTCCACTTATCAGGTCTCAAGTAGAGGAACTGTAATTATGGGAAATAATAATGTGGCTACCGTATCTAGAATAGGTCGGATCAAACTAAAGCTGACTTCGGATAAGACATTGATCCTGTAGTATGTCCATCATGTACTAGACATTAGGAGAAACTTGATTAGCGGATCTTTGTTAGTACAAACAAGGCTATAAACTTGTTTTTTGAATCAAATAAAGTTGTAATAACTACGGGATTAAATTTCATTGGAAAAGAATTCTTATGTGATGGTCTTTTTAAATTAAATGTTAAGAATTCTACTCTTGCATCTCCAATGGCTTTGAATATTGAACCTTCTATCACTTGGCATCAAAGATTGGGACATGTAAATTATAATTCAATTAAAAGATTGATGCATCTCAATATAATTTCAAAGCTTAATATAAAAGGTAATGAAAAATGTGAAATATGTGTAGAAGCTAAACTTCCTACGAAACCCTTCAAAACTATTGATAGAGATTCTGAGATATTAGAACTCATCCATAGTGATGTTTGTGATTCTGGAAGAACACCTAGAGGAGGTAATAAGTATTTTGTAACTTTCATAGATGATTGTTCTAAATATTATTCTCTCTATTTAATTAAAACAAAAGATGAAGTTATAAACAAATACAAAATATATAAAGCAGAAGTTGAAAATCAGTTGGTCAGGAAAATTAAAATACTTAGTTCAGATAGAGGTGGTGAGTACACTTCTAATGAACTAAAATAATTTTGTGAAGAGAATGGAATCATTCATGAAATAACTGCTCCATATACACCTCGGTCTAATGGAGTAGCTGAAAGAAAGAATAGAACACTAATGGACATGGTAAACTTAATGTTAATTAATTCTGGTGTGCCAGAGAATCTGTGGGGAGAAGCCCTCATGACTGTCTGCCATATACTGAATAGAATTCCATTCAAGAATTCTAATAAAACCCCTTACACAATCTGGAAGAATAGAAGCCCTAATTTAGATCACCTGAAAGTGTGGGGATGCTTAGCAAATGTTAAGATACCTGAGAATAAGAGAAAGAAGATACGCCCTAAGACTGTAGATGTAATATTTATTGGTTATGCTTTTGATAGTAATGCAAATAGATTTTTAATAATCAACTCTGATATTATTAAAATAGCCAATAACACCATTGTTGAAGCTAGGGATGCTCATTACTTTGAAAATATTTTTTCCTATAAAACCAGAGTAAGCCACTCAGGCCTTAACTCTAACAATCCAGATCCTAGTTCGAATCCTATTTCTAACCAAGGTGAAACTAGTGCTAGACAAATCAGACCACTAGAAACTCTATAGGAAACCAGGAGAAGTAAGAGAACTAGAATAGAAAAGGTCCATGAAGATTCCTATGCATTACTTGTAGAAGACTCTCCAATCACATTTGAGGATGCAATGAAATCAATAGATGCTCCATTTTGGAAGGAAGCTATAAATAATGAGATTCAATCTATAATTCAAAACCAGACTTGGGAACTCACTGATCTTCCTCTAGGCTACAAAACTATAGGATGTAAATAGGTATTTAAGAAGAAACTGAGACCTGATGGAATAATAGATAAGTATAAAGCCAGATTAGTTGCTAAAGGATATACCCAAAAATCTGGTATTGACTATTTTGATGTTTATTCTCCAGTAGCTAGGTTTACTACCATTAGAGTCCTTAAAGCTCTAGCATCCATTTACAAACTGATAATACATCAAATGGATGCTAAAACTATATTTTTAAATAGAGACTTAGATGAAGAAATTTATATGGATACCCGAGGGATTTCTTGCTTCTGGACAAGAGAAGAAAGTATGCAAGCTTATTAGATCACTATATGGTCTTAAACAAGCTTCAAAACAATAGCACATGAAATTTGATGAGATTATACTATCTTATGGATTTGTAATTAATCAAACAGATGCGTTGGTATACCATAAAATAGATAGTAACAACAAAATTATGATTTTATGCTTATATGTTGATGATATTCTTATTTTTGGTTCTGATATACAAACCA